TGAAAAACTATGGAAGAGCATTCGGTTTATAAAGGGTTTCACTGAAATACTAATTTCTGTCATCTTCCATAGGCAAAATAACTGCTTCTTGTCAAGAGGCTTTCTGGTAAGGCAGGAGAAGACACGCCCAAACGGGCCCAGGTTCCCTGGAACCACGCGCCTCGGCCAAAGAGTCTGCCAGCATCCCGTCTCCTGGACCCCCACACAGACCTTTGCCCTAGGATAAAAGGAAAACCTTTTACATGCCCCAAATGGTACATGGACACGAAAGACGAGATGTATGTGCGAAGATGAAAACATGTCACGTCCCAGGGACAGGAAAACTCTGCGTGTAGCAAGACTTTAGCTGTAAAAGTTTCATGGTGAATTTAATATTTTAAGTGATGAGGGGCCATCATCACGCAATTAACGCCCTTAGAAATGGGAAGTATATTAAAAGAACAAAAAGATGACAATTAGATAAAGACTGTAAATCCCTGCATTTAGGACCCGGAGAAGATTTTGCTTCTGGTTTTACTTCTGACTATCAGAACAGGAGGACTATCTGGTGGAACAGGCTTCTCTTTATGTGCGGGCCTCTAGGAAGCTCAGCGGTACATGCCGACATCCGAGGTCGTAGCTCCAGGCTGGAGCAAGGGTTGGCAACTTTGGTCTCTAAAGGACCAGGTAGGAGATGTGTCAGGTCACGGGAGCCGTGAGGTTGCAGCTGCCACTACTCAAGTCTGCCATCGTCAGCTGTAAGGATACCTGCCCCTCAAAGGGGGCCTTAATAAAACTTGATTAACACAAACAGATCAAAATTTGGAGAAAGGACTGGCTCCACCTGCGAAGCACTCAAACCACCCAGAAGCCCCCGAGACGGCGGATGGCCGACTCTCTGGCCGGCCACAGGCTCGTAGTCCCCAGTGGCACGCCGTCCCACTCTGTGACACCTGGGGTCGCTATGAGTCCAACGGACTCAATGGCAACTGGTTGGGGTGGGGGGTGGGGTCTCTGTGGGAGAGGGCAGCCAGAAAGGCACAAAAAAAAAAGTTTTAAAGGAGTCCGAGCAATCAGGCTCACCTAGAAGGAGCCAGAACCCCAGCCAGCTTTGCTAACAGATGACCCAACATGCGATGCCTGTTCCTGAGAGGACCCTACCCTCAGCACCCCCTGGGAGTCAGAGGGAAAAGGCAGAAATACTTTAGCTTCGCTCTGCCTTCTATTGTCTTGCTAATGCCTCTCAGGGTACAATGTCACCCATGTGCCACATGACAGAGTTGCCTGGGCGATAGGGCCACAGAAGACACCCTCCACCCTTCCCAGAGGAGCAGGATGGGGAAAAGTGAGGTCCCACAAAGCAGGAACTGACAGTTCATCAGGAAATGGTTCAATGTGATTGTGTCTCTTACCTTAGCTAAATGATCAGTGTCCGATTACTCAATAATCAAGCTAAACAAGGGCTCACTTGTGTTTATTTACTATTCTGTCGAGAACAATTTCCCACGTATGCCCCTGAGAAGAGATTCTGCTCTAAACGACGGCAGGCATCTCTCTTCCAACTCCACAGCACTTTGCTACAGAATCAATGTCTCTTCCCCAATTAATCCCTGCAGGAAGTATTTAATAAGCAAAGTAAGCACAGGCTTCATTGTGCTTATTTACTAATCTGTACTGCACAGTTCCGCATGGTTCTCACTGACGTTTGCTTCCTGTGAAACCTTCTACTGCAGATGAGCAAATAAGCACAGCGAAACCACCATTTTAAACCGAAAGCCAAGTTCATTGCCACTGAAGTGAATTCCAACTCATGGTGGCTCTGTGGTGGCGGTGTAATTGACATACAAATGCAGAACTGATAGGCAGAAATGCTTTTGTGCAATGTCTTGGGGTAAGTTCATCTAAAGTAAAAGAACGCCCACAGCAAAGGTGGCGTGGAGGTCAGCGTCCACACCCACGGTTTCTGAGCACAAACAGTGATTTCTCAATCTATCTTTCATCATCCTTTTTCCTTCTGATTAGGCTTTTTGATATCAGAGGAAAAAAACCCACCATCAACACACTCCACAGCCCATGGCCACCACGGTGATTCCGGCTCACAGTGACACTAAAGGAGAGGCTGGAACTGGCCCTTTGGGTTTCGAAGACTTTCTGAGGCTGTAAGGCTGTCATTTTTAACAGACGCAGACAGCCATAGCTGAAGAAATCGCTGGGGGTTTGAACTGCCCAC